ACTTTGCTGCGTGAGGTTTCCCATATATCTTGCTGTCGGAGGTGAGCCTCCCTCTGCCACTGGGATCCAGGCCAGTTAGAACTGGAGGGAAGTGGGAACCTTCACAGCCTCAGGGTAGTCTGGTTTGAAGTTACCAGAGGATGCCTGTTGGGGAGTCTCTGGTTAGAATATGGAGAAGAGACTTCTAATAGCATAGAGAATATTGATTTTAACCCATGACTGTTAGGTATATAAATACTAGCGTAAGTCCAGGTTTTCCAGGTTGAGTTGTCTCCTGTTGCTCGTCACACTTTTCGGCATGATTAAAGCTCAATGTGGTATCCGAAGCGCAGGCACAGATTTAGTATGGTGATCGTAACTATTTTACTTACTAAGTACGTGCATCTTAAAAGTAAATGTCTACTATTTTGCACTGTTCAAATGAAGTTCCTGATAAGGAGTCCGTTATCTTGACTCATTTCTTTGGAACACAGCGTTTCAGTTAAATCTCAGATAGCCAGATAGACCACTTGATGTGTTCTTGAGGCGCTATCATTCGCTTGAGTTTTGGGAGTAAAAATCTGGTCTGCTAAGTTTTGCAGGAATCCCCTGCTTTGCAGTAGCTTACAACACTACGTGTTATTCCCAGCATCAGCCAGATGAAAATGCCTTCCTTCCTCAGAAAAGGGCTGGCTCGCATCTCTGCGTCCTACCACTCGATCTGCGATAGGCATTTTGAAGGGCGGTGTGTGATTCCAGGTAGAGGTATGAATGTGAAAGAGAAATCTTGCCTGCCCTTTGTCCAATGATTTATTTAAATGCTGGGAATACTTGTACAGGCACTTTTTGGATACTTGGTGTGTGAAAGCACACTTCCTCTTTCCACCTAACCCTCCTTCTGAATGAAGGGAGAGTGCCTCATACCCTGCTCTGCAACAGGGGTAAGATAAGACCATTAACAAAACGGAGTAAGACCTTAAAAATGGAGAAGGATTTGAAATGCAGTGTCCGTTGTCCAGTTGTGTTCAGCCTGTTCTTGTTTTCTTTTTGCCTTTGCAGCGTTTGCTATGACAGAGCTCCCTGGTACCCTACAGCTTTAACATTTATCCTGTCGGCCCTGTGGCACGGTATCTATCCGGGATATTATTTTACGTTTCTGACTGGAATCCTTATCACACTCGCAGCCAGAGCAGTATGTACCTTCTATTGTTCTCTTCTACGGCCTGTGCTAGATACTATCTGCAGGCACCACCCTGGCACGGCTGAGCAGCTTGTCCCCGCTGGGAGCCCTCTTTCCTGCCTTTGCAGGGTTGGTGTTCACTGAAGCTTTGTTCTGGGTGGATGCTAATTGCAAAGTACCCTCAGCAGTCGTAATTAATTCCACACGTGCCCCTGTGCTGCCCTTGGCTATCAGAGGAAATGTGGCTTGAGTGTTGTCGCAAGCCGGTCTGGGACCAGCTTGGGATTCAAGGTTAAGCTTGAATCTGGGTTTCTGCTGGGTCATGTTGCCTGTATGCCAGCATTTAATCAGCCCTGGGCGTGATCTTTCGCAAGAAGTTGTTATGGGTTGAGCGTTAGCCTAAACTTGAACTCTTTCTCGTGGGTGCAACTGATGCAGTAAACCAGTCTCTGTGTTTATGGGTCTCATCATGGCTAGAGTGACCAAAGGTTTAGTGTCTCACTCTAGTTAAATTTATCACTGCTGGTCTTTCAGGCTGACCTAGGCGGTTGTGCAGGGCTGGGAAGCACCACCGTTGTCTTTCGGAGTTTGACGGTGGATAAATAACCAGCCCAATGTGAGTGGTGAATTAAACTAGTGATCATGTCTCTGGCTAGAACAGGTTGCTGAATGTGTCTTAACAAGCAGTTTGCCTCTCATTTATGAGTGTTTGAGAGATGTGAAGATAAACCAAAATCTTTAGGGAACAGCACAGTCTTACTGTTGTATGTACGCATATAAATAATAAATATAAACACATTTAAAGTAACTTTGTTTCACCATTGATAACCAGTAGTAAGTCAAAGCCAGGAAGATGAAATTATAACAACTCCTCTCCCCAAAAACAGACTGCCAGATAGCCAGCATGAGGATCTGCTCCTGTGATTATGAGGGAGGAAACTGGGGGACACTGCATGCTGCTGGTTGATGGTGGGATTTTGGGTATGCAAGTCAAGGCCCTTCTGCCTTCCTGCTCTCACTGCTTTCTAATTGGTGTATGAACTTTCTGAGAGTAAGCAGAGAGTCCTACATTATAGTGTGTGACTTTGCCCAAGAAATGAATTTATATCGTTTTCTGTTTGCTTTTCCTGCAGATAAGAAACAATTGCAGACGTTACTTCCTCTCCTCAGTGCCTCTCAAGATAGCGTATGACGTTGTCACCTGGCTTGTCACTCAACTGGCCGTCTGCTATACTGTTGCCCCCTTCGTTATGCTGGCTGTTGAGCCCACAATTAAGTTTTACAAGTAAGTTCTCTCTTCTTGATTATTATTCAAGAGTTGTGGAAGCCTCTCCGTGGAAATGTCCAAGAGCACATTGGATGGGACTTTGAACAACCTGCTCTGATGGGAGGTGTCCCTGCCTGTGGCAAGGGACTTGGAACCAAATGATCTTTAAGGTGCCTTCCAACTCAAACCATTCTATGGTTTTATGGTTCTCCAGAATGAAAGCACAGGCTTTTGTTAAATTACCCAGACCACACTGAAAAGCAGTTGACATTTCATCCAATCTGAAAGTTCAGACAGGATGCTTAATAATGTGCGAGGGGTGATTTTTTTTGCACTCCAGTAACTTAGTGAGATAATAACAATGCCAAGGCAGAGCCACTCCACTTGTACTTTTAAGTCTTTCTGTGTCTTTATGTGACTTTTCACATACTCAGTTTCCTTTTCCAAAACACTTTAGTCTCAACTGTTAACAGTGGCCAAGGCTGGAGAGGTTAAGAATAGTTTGTGTTGTCAATAGGAAGGACTTGGTGAGGAAAGCCCAGATTCTCAGTTACTGAATGTGTAGCAGGGGAGATGTGATCGGAGATTAGGGCATAAAGAGGGTGCCTGGCAGAGCATTACTTCTCAAAATGAGTATGCTTTGCTTTTGCTCCCAGAAGTGGGTGCTTCCCTAGCTTCCTTAAAAATAAGAAAACACTGGTGTTGGAGTACATTCAATGTACTCTAATAACAGAATTGAAAAGGGAGGCTGGACTTCATTGCTTTACTTTTCTTTCATTCTGCAGTGAACTGTCAACATAGAATAACAGGTTTTGGTTAAGAAGAAAGAGAATTCCCTCCTCTAACATAAAAGACTTAGAACTGGTAGTTAAGATAGCTGCTGTCAGTAAGTCTGTGGGAAGGGGGTTGAATTTTGAAATTTTCTGTTCCTGTTTCTTAAAACTTTTGATTGCAACACAGAAAACATAGCGTATCAAAATGACTCAATCTTTCTTAGTTTCATTCCTTAATGCGCTTTTTTTTTTCCCCGTAGTGACTTTGAACATAGGTAACATTTTAAACTTAGAGACTCTTAAGCAAAGAAATTGTAGGCCTTTGGACTAGGGCATGAATTTTTTTGGAGCACTGTGCATGTAGTAGTGGCCTTAAGCACCTCACAAGGATATTAAGAACTATGGTAGGAAGCATAAATTAGACCATAGAAAGGTGCACCTCTGTGTTTAAGGGCTGGAACACACTGCTCCCAAGTGTCCTCCCCAAGCTGCCAGAGCATCATGTAATTGCTTAAAGTATTTTTTTTATTTCTGTTCAATCTTATGTCTACCAAATTATTTGAAATAAAAATGTGTGATATTTAATAAGGTATCAAATAAAGACATCTCTGAGGAGTTGCCTTCAGAACCAAAACATCATTACTTGACCTTCCCCAACTAAAAGTTGAGTGTTTTAATTTATTGTAGATGTCAGCGCTTGGAATGACTTTTTTTTTTCCCTTCCTGTCACTTTTTTTTGGTTAAAACTTGCAAAAGTTTTATGTCCTAAGGATGTTTCTTCAGAATGTGGCCTTGCATACTCTAACATTAAAAGCAAGATGCGCTGAAATAAGTCTGGGGCTGAATTATGTGGGTTTGTCTGAGCTGTCAGACTCTGGGTCCTGGAGTTGGTGATGGATTTCTTGCCTCCTTAACATCCACAGCAATATTTCCATTGATCCAGGAGACCCCATATGCATAGGCTGCGTGAAATTCAAGGGTATATTTTTGTGCTTTCTAGGTCAGGTTTGTAGACTCTGCATTTGTCCCTTAGCACTAAATTCTGAGTGGACTTAGGCTGTACAATTTGTGTTATTACCAGCAAAAATATAATATTCTCCTTCTGCTTTTGTTCCCAGGTCTATGTATTTCCACATGCACATTCTCAGCATCCTGGTGTTGCTCGTGTTACCAGTCAGATCTCAAGCCCACTCCATAAGAAAGCCTCAGAATCAGGCTGTGCAGAACTCTGTTAAAAGCAAAGACAAATGATGCCTCCAGAGAAGATCTTTGGGAAGTTGAACTGTCACATCGGAAACAAAGAAGGAAGAAGAAGAATGGGTGGGACGAGGGTCAAAATACAAGACAAGTGGCATTTCTATTGGTTATCTTAAAACTTTACTGGACAGGGCAGAAAAGAGCCTGAAAAACTGTATTTCAAATTACTCCAGTCAGCAGAGATTTTGCAGGCAATGTTTACAGGCTCATGGGGCATTGTGATTAATTTTTTTAAAATAAGTATTTTTATGAAGTGTTTTTATATATTTAAAATTTTTCACACAGGCGTTTCTTGCTCTTTTACAGAAATATATGATTATTATTCAATACTCTTGTGATTAGAGGGACGGGAAGCAGCTATTAAAGAGTGAGACTGGCTGCCTGATAGCCTGGTGCAGTGAGCAGCTGCCTGGGGAAAATTTCCATCTCTGGAAGACGCAGAGAACCTGGTGTGAGTAGAAAACTACAGGCACGGGGTTGCTCAAGGTGCTGGCACTGACTTCTGTCCCAGGAAGGAGAAGTGGGGAGCAGCGTTGTCCCTGGCAATACTCCTCTGCAGCCTGAGCTTGGCAGCATCCTTCAACATGAAACTGCTGGTAATGAGGGCAAGACAAGTGGATGCCTCGTCCCTGGAAGTGTTCAAGGCCAGGCCGGATGAGACTTTGAGCAGCCTGGTCTGGTGGGAGGTGCCCCTGCCTATGGCAGGGGATTTGAACTAGATGATCTTTAAGGTCCTTTCCAACCCAAACCATTCTGTGATTCTATGAAGTCCTGTGGGAGGAGGAGTCTGGGAGCATGGGGAGCTGGCTGAGCCAAAATCTGAAGCCAAATAAAAGCAAAACGAAAAGATGGGGCAGGGGGAACCCAACCTAGAGTAAAAGAAGGGGTGTTGTTATGCCCTGTAGTGTAGATTTTTGCTTCTCTAATGACGCAGCTGGTGCATGTGGCTACTTCAGCCTCCCTTTGCAGTTTGAGAGTGATGCAGCAGTGCTTCAATTTTGGTATCAAAACCAACCGAGGAGCCATGCAGGTTTGGTGTTTTAAAGCACACAGTTATGGAGTTAAGTCTGTGGAAGGTTTGTAATGGATCAGACTATTCTACTCAAAAACATCCTGTCTTATGGAGGGGTTACTTTCTAGCGGGGTAACACTAACATGAAACCTGAACGGTAATTACCGTAGTCAAAATAAATGATTCCCTACAAAATATTGTGATGGGGTACGGTCATCACAAGAGTCAAGTCCTTGTATGATCTTGACATGTAACTGAGCCTGTTGATGCAAGTTTCCCTGTTTGTAAGGTCCTTGTCTTACACGGATGTTTTGAGGCTTAATTTCTAACAGCTGGGTTTGCATTGAAATAACCTGCTGCAAAATGCTGTGTCAAGGTCTTTTTTAAATCTACTTACTCCAATAAAACAGGCTGGTATGACACATCAGAGCCAACTAAAACTTTTTTTTTTTAAATGATCATGTTCCAGGAATGGTTTTATCAGGGTTTTGTAGAAGTGATCCCCTTGTTAAGGTATTGCTGTTGGTTTATGGTCCTTTATCTGATGTGTGATTCAGCAAAGAATCTGCTGTTTACTGCCTTCTGGTTTATGTGTCAGATCAAAGTTTTACAGAATCCTAATGTTTTCGGAAGAAAAAAGTCGGTGAAACCAAAACAAGTTCCAAAAAAAGATGGATTTTTTTTTTTTTAATTAGGTGAGAAGTTGTTGTCCCGTGACCACCTCTGCGATTTAGAGCATGGTTTGTGGAAGAGTTTACTGACAATTTATTTTGAAATCGAGATGGGATTGATCTGAATAATAAAAACAAAATTTGCTTCATGTCACTACCTGGCATTATTAATCACAAATGTCTAATGTGAACTGTGCACAAGATGACCTAGTCTGCAGCCCTTCCCAAGCTGTACATTCAAGAGGCTAGATATTGTCAGTGGGGTTTCCTTTCTATTTTTTCACAGAAGGGGAGCTTGCTTAACTCTAGAGCCACCGACTTCTGTCGTGGTTTCGGCTTCTGCAATACGATGGCTTAGTCAGGGCTAGTGAGCAAACCCCTGCTCTCCTGTCACGTTGTCTTCACAGCCTGGACCTCTCTCTGGAAACAGGAGCCCTGGGCTTCAACGGGAACCGGTCATATGGATTTAAGGTGGCGTGTTGCGTGAATTAAAATGGAAATTTTTGAAATATTGCATCGGCAGGGAAACTTGCTGGTTGAATTAAAGCCGGGGGGGGTAGAATGGAAGTCACCTAAAATCTTGGCTATGCTGCATTGCTGTAGCTTACCCAGCCACACGTGGCAGTCGTGCAGAGCTAACACAGCGTGGATTTAAATCGTTGCCAAATACTAATTTGAAAGAAATGCTTTGGTTAGCTTTAGTGTACTGCCTTTCTCAGTCCATTGTACTAAGCCCTCCTCTCCTTTTTCTCAAGGGGAGAAAACTTGGTTTTATAGAAAGACTACAAACAGCCACTGCTATTTAGAGGAGACTCGTGCTAGTAGCGTGCAGCTGCTTTGCACAGGAGTGTGGAACTCGTAAGAGCCAAAGTAGAAATTCAGGTTATAAAAGCATGTTGTGGGGAACTTTGGTACTGGCCTTGCATTACTTGGTCTCTACTTGGAATGTTGTAATTTGAGAGTGATTAACACACATGATTGTGATCCAACATGTTAGTTTCTAATCCCTCTCTAGGTTCCTTATGTTGCAGAAGGGACAATGAAGAGCTGAAGCTTCTAGAGAGATTCTGATGACAAAACCAGTCTGATTTATAAGAGAAAAGATGGTTTATAAGGTGATTTATAAGAGAAAAGAAGGAGACTGTCAGACAGAAATGAAAAAGGTAGTATACTGTACTGGGCTGACGAAGGTTGTATTTTAAATATAGGAAAACCAAAAAAAATGCCACCACCATCACCCCCTTGGATAGAAGGCAAACTCTAGCTGCAGTTTTCCAACACGTTTGGCCATATTAAAGCTAAACTAGAAATTGGGAACTACTTACAAGAGAGAACTGAATTAAGAGTAAAACTTCTTTTCAGCTGGGTCTGGTATTTAAAGAAGCAATAGCTCAGCAGTTCCCTCAGAGGACTGGCAGCACAAAGTACATTTTTTTTTTTTTTTTGCAGTCCTATAAGCTGTCCTTCTCCTTGAGGACATTCCTGTGTGTCCCCTTGGAGCATACCAAGCAATGGAGGCAGCACGGAGGTGGACTAAAAGGTGGGCAGATAGTTTTCCTCGCTTTTTGGCCACTCTGTTCTGCGTGCAGACATTGCACATAGCTAAGATGTTTGCATCATGTAGAATGAGGTAGGTGGGTAAGCAGGCCATAGATTTTTAATGATAAGTGTTTGCATAAACCTGCACGTGCTTCTCTGTACATGTAAAAGCAGGCTCAGATCTTAGAAATACAGGTTGAAATTCTAACACCCAAGGAAGTCTAAAATTCAGTGTCTCTGATATTTAAAGCTTTTATCTCCTTGTCCCTGAACTGTGGACTTTAGAAGAGTATTCTACAGATTGCAGTAATAAAGGGACTAAATGGAAACTTTTCCTTTAACGTTGAAAAGCGTGTTACAAGGAATTCCTGTAGTCCACGTGTTGCGGGCAGAGGACGACTGCGTCTCTCCTCACCCTTGCCCAAGACAAAGTGACGTGCATGGTTGCATATTGTAATCATCAAATGTCCTTCGAGGTACCCTTCCCTTTCCTTATGTCACTGAGCTGATGTAGTTCAGCTCTCAGGGGCTGGAGGTGTTTCCACTGCTGTACGACGTGGGAAGCCCTGCCTGCTGTCTCACCAGGAGCGGCGAACATGCAGCGTGTGCTTTCAAAATGTGTTCTTTTCTGCGCGGCACCGGCCTGCTGCTGCCTTTCTTCTTTGGCGTGACAGTAATAATAGGCACAAAGCATTCAGCTGTGTGGCGAGCGCTGATGTGACAACGGAGGTGGCATTTGTTGGGGTTGCGTTTACGAGCAGTGCCCTCTGCGGGCGGCTGCACCTCGGCGAACACTCGAAGATCAAGGACGTCGCTGCCGAGGTGGGAAATGCGATGGGAGCTGCAGGTGCATTTTGCCCTCATGCAATAATAAACAGATTTTGCATTGGGGCAGGAGAGCAAGACAAATTAAAGATGTAGATATATCGGGAGGGGAAAAAAAGTATTATTGGAGGAGGAAATGCTGCCTCGTTGGTAGAAAATGTGGAAATTATATGCCTTAAGAACTTAGGATATGCCTTTTGTTCACCTGACAAATGTGTATAGAAGGGAGTCACACTTGAGACTTGATATATTGTCTCTCCATGGAGCAGTTCTGAAAGTGAAGAATCCAGGCTTGGCTGGAGGCCACAGCAGCGTGGTTGCTTGCCCACCTGGGCGAGGGGCCTGTGAGATTCTGGCACAAAAGGTGGTCAGCAGATCCAGAAGCCTGCCATCCTCACTGTCAGTTTTCCCCATCCTTTTGTCAGATGCTGTACAGGGAAATCTGGTGCCCAGCTGTGCTGGGAAGGGAGTTGGAAGCCAAACTAGTCATGGTGGGACAGGGCAAAGAGAAATGCTGCCAGGACTCAGACATGCTAAACAACATTTGCTTTATCCAGGGATGGAAACTGGTACCCTTCTTCCTCAGAAACATCTTCAGGGGGTGATGTTGTTGCTGCTTTGAGACACATGGATTTCTCTTTGTTTGTATTTATTCTTACCTCTATGGTTTCTCTATTAGTGCACTTTCTTTTTTTTTTCATTTGCGTTTGAGAAAGATGTTGTGTGGCTATTTTATATGTGATCAGGGAAATGCCCAACTAAAGGCACCCTGAAAAGATGCGGTGAGTGATGTGAGTGTAGAAATAATGTGAACACATCCTAAGTCAGTTAATTGATTTACCTGTCTGTATCTCTGATGTGAGGTGTTTTGCATGAGTACTCTTAAATGACCGCATCCAGTGTGCAGCAGGTGGTGCACATTTCCCCTGGAAGGAAGCAACTTGGAC